ATATAATATATGATTAATATATAGGGCGAGAGAGAGAGAGATTTATATCTATCTATAATAAAAAGAAGACATAACTCTCTAGACTGTGTCCTGCAGTGACATGATCATCATACCTGTACCATGCCATGATGCTATCATTGGGCTGTACAATGCTCGCAAAGTGATATTTAATGTTCATGTAAGTGGCCTGAGGCTGTAATGTGTGAACCGCATATTTCATGTGAAGAATGCACTTGCAGGTATTTCTCTTTGTATTTCACCTGGGAAAGAACCCAGAGATTGCCTTCTAAAGGTTACCTGGCTCTCTAAATCTGACTACCAGGAACAGAAAACAGGTGCTCAGACAACACAGGACTAACTAGTAATATAATGTAATAGTCACACAATATTAAAATAGGGTTAGCAACAGAGCCATCAAAGTCTACTTTACCTGTTCCATAGATCCCTTGAAAAAGAACCAAGAGCAGATAAAATATAATTTCTACTTCCATTGTAAATTCTAAAATAGTTTCCTGGAAGATCGACAAAAAAAATAAAGAATCCAAAAAAAGTCAATAAATAAAATGCTGAATGTTCCACTGGTCTAAGAGTAAAATCAGGAAAATGGTCCTTAGTAGTTCCAGTACTTGTAAATGAAATGTTCTCAATCAAAGTCTTGAAGGACAAAGTATTAGTTGTGGTTATTGCTCAGAGAGGTCCCAAAGTGGTTGTGATGCAGCCAGCTGCTGTGCTCCTTTTTATATTGCACAGCCATAGAGTTTGTAAACAGCCCTCAATTTATATTATCCTTAGACAATGTTATTGTGCTATTAGTCACCGAGAAGCAACGTGCAGACTAAGATAAGGGTAGGCTGGAAAGGAAACCTCTGCTAACTTCACAAAGGGAGACGCCGTCTGACAAAATCAGGGGCAGGGCTACGGAGAAATCCCTGAGTCGGTTCAACTTGCTGGGACGGTGTCACTGTGTGTTCCAGCCACTAGAGGGCGCACTGCCTCCGTCTGCCTGTGCGCTGCTCTTCCAGAGCTTAGTAATTACACTTCTTATTTCACCTGTCAGCTTAATATTGCCACCAACTGGAAAAACTGGAACTGGATGGTAAATACTGTCTTAGAAACAAGAATGTTCTATTAATGAGCGGTTTTCTTTTCCATCACAGCTCTGTATACAATTAACTGCAGATTATTGGAGAATTTGACACCTTGCTGAATTCTTTGTCAGATCCTGCCAAACACAATTTTGCAGCCAGGGCCATCTTAGAAATGGAGCTTTTTTTGTTGCTGCTTTTTATCAGGTGCTGTGTGGGCAGCGAAAGAGAATACTAATTAGATAGGAGTCTGTAGCGGGTTTGGTTATTGGTTTTTAAGAATGCTGGGAGCTAAAGAAAATAAGGTCAAAGTAAGCTGCTAAGTGTTCTTTATAATCTAGAACAGTCTTTGTTCCGTCTGAGTTTGTCAACGTCAAAAACACATGTCCTGTATTTTCGCACAGCGTCATGTGTTTGCATGCTGCGCATGGGCATAATGCTAATCCATGGCGAACAGCATTCAGTAGAGGGCGGAGAGAACTCTGCCTCCATCCAGACCTGCCCCGCCTCCTGTCTTCTGCCACACTGCTGCAGCAGCGCTGAGTGTATGGGTCACCTTACACCTTATAATCTGACCATACAATCATTGTACAATCAATTTAAGATTTACCAAATCTATCCAATATGAGGACCTACCTAATCCAATATCCCGCGACCTAACAGAGATTGTACAGTCAGGTTGTAGCATGTGTGGTGAGCTTAAAGGTGCCCATACACCTTACGACCATCGCAAGACTTTTGTCTTGCGATGGTCGTATGCTTATTGAATGCTCGTACGATCTGCCCACCTTGGACGGGCAGATCGTACTTGCGATCACCGAAAGCCCGCCCCGCTGAGGGGCGGGCTTCCGATGACCGCAATGCAGAACGGGCAGTGTGTGCGTGCGCACACCGGCCCGTTCCGCAGCTATCGGACGAGCAGGCTAGAAACCCGCCGACAATCGTACGATTCTCGGCGGGTTTTCGAGCATGTTGGTTCGACAAAAGACGTGCGACCGTACAGTAGAAACGGTCGCACGTCTTCGTTCACACTGCTCGATTCTCGTACGATCGCGGGATTTCGCCCGATTCTCGTACGAGAATCGAGCAGTGTATGGGCACCTTTAGGCTCACCATACATGCTACAATCTGACCATACAATCTTTGTTCAATCAACTCTAGGTACACCAAAACTGGGTAATATGAGGACCCACCTAATCTATCCAATGAGTTTGTATCCAATCAGACATGCTCTTGCACTACATACATGTTGGTAGATCTAAAGATTGTACAATCAGATTGTAAGGTGTGTGGTAGGACTCTGATGTGAAGCTGGGATTGAGGACTCTGGTGTGGAGAGAGAATTTGATGGGGCAGCTAAGGACTCTGATGTGAAGGGGGCTCTCTAGTGTAAATGGTGAACTGAAGGGGGCTACTGATGTGAAGAGAGGTCTTGATGTAAAGGGGAATGGGTGCCTTAAGACTTTGCATACCATTAAAGGGTGCTGTGAAAAAAAATTTGAGCAACACTGATCTAGCATACAGTACGTGTTCAAGACTTGTAGTGATCCTGAACTATAGAGGTAACAAGTGATTTCTAATAGGGGTTACAAAGTCAGAAAAGAGTATTCCAGCATGCTGGGTGTGATTTTATTATTTAAATGTAAATGGTGTTTAGTTTAAAAAAAAAAAAAAGAAAAGTCCATGTATTCATTGGATAAAAGTTAAGTGTGATTAAAAAAAAAAGAAACTTCTGACAGGTAGCATTTTTATGACAAAAGTGACTCTTTCCTAATTGCTTTTCTCTGCCTGTCATAATGGCGGCAATGCTGCTTCTTACAGTGAATGATTGTTGTCACCCTGGGACAGAAAGTATGTTACTGGCAGGTTCACCAGGTAAAAATAAAGGAACAAAAAGCCTGAGAAGAAAACTGTACATACCACATCTAAGGACTGGTAAACTGCAATATATGACATTTTTATTCTTGGGTTTAGTTGAGCTAAAATGTTTTTGAGGCCAGATTCCCCCCCCCCCCCAAAAATGACTTGTTAGCCTGTATAGGGATTTTGTATGCGGCATAGCTAGTTCTTTGTTTAAAAAAAATGGGCTGGTCAACTGTTTCAAGGGACAGGCAGATTCCTTTCTTTGTCATAAAACACACCTATTGCAATGAATTCCATCTCTGACAGCACACTGGCCAGGGACAAGCCCACTAGCTAGGGACAAGCCCACAGCTCCATCGTGTCCTGGCCAAAGTCCGGCCAGTGGCCCATCCTGGACATTCATTAAGTAATGAGCGTTTGATTATGGAGAAAACAATGTGATCTATGTTTCTAATAGTTTGATAGTATCAGGATTATTTACAAAAGGGTGAAGAGTTTAGAGAAGGCAGGAGAAGTGAACAATCTAGGCCGAAATTGCTGATTTGGCAAAAATTCTCCAATTCAGCTCACCTTCCAGTTCAGCTACAGTATGTTGTCCTATATCAGGGGTGGCAAACACAAGGCCTGCGGGCCGAATCCGGCCCGCCGGACCTTGTAATGTGGCCCGCACAGCAGCCAGGGCCGGTCCGCTATGCCGACTTTGTGCAGAGCAGTGGCTACTGTGTGGTAGCGAGCAGAGCCGGCACTACCACACAGTAGACACTAGAGGGCGCTGGTGGGGGAGGCCAGAGAACCCCCTCCTCCCCCAGCCCTCTTTACTCTGTACTCTTTCCGGAGCTTGCTGGTGCTGTTCCTGCAGCTCTTAGATGCATAGTCCTATACAACCGGCCCTTTGAGGGTAACCATACTGCTGATGCAGCCCCCGATTAATTTGAGTTTGCCACCCCTGTCCTAGATTGTTCACTTCTCTTGACTTCTCCAAACTCTTCACTCTTTAGTGAATAACCCTGTATATTTTCACACCTAACTAGCTATTTTTAACAAGCGGGAGGACTTCAGAACTATGGCCAAACCTTTTTTTTTGCCGTACATCTCTTTAGGGTCACAGGAGGACATTTACTTTAACTACATTGATGTTAAAGCTGGACTTCAGGCAAAAACACAGTTGAAATTCATAATGTTTCACTGCGACAGGATTTGCATCTCTGTGTAACCAGTGTTGTCATCTAGCTATCTATACCAGAGAACACAGCCAACTGCTCAATCACCACTAAAATAGCCATGTCACACTAACAACATTGTAACAGCTACAAATTTCTCTGCTTATTTTCTCCAGCAGTCTGTAGCCGGCAACAGAGTTACTGCTGAGGATGACTACAGTGCTTATCTAGACAGCTACAGATCTTTAGTATACCATGGTCATCATCAACTACATTAGTAACTACTGAAGCTGGCAATAGTACATCTGGCTCTAAATGCTATAAATAAAAAAATAAATGGAAATTCTGGGTCATTACGGTCATTTTTACCTTTTGGTGGCTCATCTTAAGTTATCAGTCATTAGTAAGATAATGATGTACTTTCCAACCTATCATAAAGTTGTAGTCTGTCTGGCTGTGAAGTTTGTGATATCTGTGAAGGATATTCTATGCCGAAACAAAGAATTCAGACAGATGTTTTGAAATTCAAACAATGCTGCAGTATTACAGTGCCAAATGCCAATGCATAAGCGACAGTGTTTGGCCAATCATTATTGTCTGCTGATTCATACAGAAAGAATACCTTTGTTCTGGAAGTCGCATATTACGGGAGCACCAGTGGACTTCAGCACTTGAGAACGCAGACTGCATTCCAAGTCACTCTGTCATAACTTCCCCAAGAGGAAATTCTGCTGGTCTGATTTACTTGTGGTATTCTGTTAATGCAGTCGCTGTAATACCTTATTCAGTCTGTTGTGAACAAAATAGACAGCGGGTGCTTAAAGAGCAACCCTAGGCAATAAGTGAAATCAATCAGGGAGGTGCTAATGCTAGTCAGCAAACATTGCAGTTGTGCTTGACTGACTACCAAGTTCAATTTATATTTTATCTAACCCAATGCAGCCAGATTAAGCACTTTTTTTCCATAGTGTTTATAGACAAGGCTTTATTTGCATAAGGCGCGGTGAGTGAGTGCTTAGGGCAGCAGGGTTAGAGGTGGCAGCAGAAAGCCTGTAAATTCACAAATCTTTCTAATTATTTTTTCTATTTTATTTCCCTTTTTGGCATCTCTGAAAATGTGTTACTTCCCCCTCCCTTAGATTGTAAGCTCTCACAGGCAGGGCCCTCCTTACCATCTTGTCTTGAATTGTATTGTGATTGTAATGTATTCCTTATATTGTAAAGCGCTGCACAAACTGTTGGCGCTATCTAAATCCTGTATAATAATAATAATGTGTGGCTAACAAGAGAACTATAAGGGGTAGTGGGTGCCGGTCAGAGAGGAGTTAAAAGCCTCAACACAGTTCAAAGTCATGACACCATCTCTTTTTTCTCTTGTTTTATATTGTCTATACAGTTGAAAAGTAGTTTTGAATATAAATCAG